TGTTTTGCCCCCTCACCTTGTTTTGCCCCCCGTTCATCCATACATTGTTTTTTTCTCAACAGTCAACGTTACATGTTGTTTTATGTCCAAATTGTTGTTTTTTTTTAAATACTACATTTTTTATTTTTCCACTTTTCTCTCCTCTGTGTGACATCACTTCCTGTATTTGACGTCTCACCATATCCCATAATTCTCTCCTGTTTTCCTCTCAGTTAGTTCTTCTCCATCTGCGTCTAAAAAAAAAAAACTCAACTCAATCAAAATCAGCTTTATTTGCACAGAGCCAAACCACAGCGTGGATTATCTGAAGCCACTTTATGATGACTCTCTTCCTCCTCCTCTTCCTCCTCCTCTTCCTCTTCCTCTTTCTCTTCCTCTTCCTCCTCCTCTTCCTCTTCCTCTTCCTCTTCCTCTAACAACCCTAATGCCCCACACTGGTCCTTCACAGACCTGGTCAGATCCAGGACGTCACTGCTGTGCTGACGATTACCTACCACTATCACTAAAACAGGTGACCTCCTCACTGTAAGGCAAGAGCTGTATCCGCCTGTCCACTGCGTGGCCTGATTCTCACGTGTGTTACTTGTCTTCCCGTGGTCTGTGGCAGTCCGTGCTGAAGCGACTACGTGGCCACGCCCCCCTTACCCAGAGTCACTGCCGTGAAAGTGGGCGTGTTTTTGGCGTGTTTTGCCCCTAAGACCCGACAGACGACCGTCAGCTTCTACAGCAGGAACATCTCAGCTGAGGGTTGGAGGTCTACGTCAGGCTGGAGCTGTGGGTCAGCGGCCGACACTGACACCGAAGATACGGTTCTGGGTTCAAAGATGTGGTGTAAAAACCAACATAGAACTCTGGTAGAACCAGGTGATATATCGACTGATCATGATTAGTTCTTGGTACGTGGATGTCGTCTTCCTTCAGATCCCTGACCTTTTTCCATCCTTCTTCCTTACGTGCATTACACTCCCTTCCTCCCTCCCTCCCTCGTCTGTATACCATATTTATGAGCAGCACTCTCGCCCTGCTGCAGACAAGAGTGGGTGGAAAGGGGCTCCGAGGCCGACACACCCAACAACAGGAAAGGAGTTTGCTTTTGGCCGTGGGCTTAAAAAAAAAAAAAAAATCCTAGAGTGTCTGTCTAACCTTTGGAGAACAGCATGATGCAACAGGCCTGCAACCAAAAAGAAAATCACCGCTGTCACGCAAAAAAACCCAAAAAACTCAGAAACTCGTCACTTTGACCATCATGATGTAAACGAAAAAAATCTGAAGGCAACCGGACTGAGAATCCTTAAAAACCTGCCCTGGGTCTTTGAGTTCAGGAAAGAAAGAAGTGAAAAGTTAAGCTGGAGGTGAAGAGAGGTTTGTTGTTTCAAGGGTGTATTCTCCTTCGTAGGGAGGATGAGGAGTCATGATTGGTGTCATGTGGGTGGAGGGCTTGTGGGATTTGATAATCCAAACTGTTGGGGAGGGGGGAGAGTGGGAGGGGGGGGGGGGGGGGGGAAACAGCTGTTTAGACGGACACCCCAGCCAGCTGTTCGTCCACCACAGGAACAACATCACAGCAGGATATTAACAGAAGACACACACACACACACAGGTGAAACTCCCAGAAGCCCTCACTCACACAACAGTACTCCCAACACCTCACCCTGAGGAACTCCGCACCTGAGATCGGTGACAGTTTGGTTTGATTTTCTTCAACTTATTGATAAAGACACACACGTACGACTGCTGCCGTATCCTGTATATATTCAGGTGCCACGTAAACACGTAACTTTACAACGAGACGTTGCTCGCAAGTGAACCTAAAATGTTTAAAATGGTTAAACAGCTGGTTTCTGGTTTCAGACCAGTCTGCGGTCATGTGACCACTCCGTGGTCTTGATGTTGACTGTTAAATACAGGTTCTTCATTCTTGGAGAACAATAAGCCTGGACTCAAACCCACAACCGTTCGGTTGAAAGTCAACTGGTTTCCACACTGAACCAAAGCCTAATTAATGTCACATGTAGCAGCGTATGTGTGAATATAATGTAATACATACTGTACATTCTTCACTTTATTGGGTTGCGATGTGGACCAGATGTTATATGTTGTCCAAGAATGTTCTCCTAATTTGTTTATGGCGAGAACAAGAGGGGAAAATATCCAACCTTTCCAATAGTTGTATCAATCAATTAATTATTGTATATATATATATAACATATATAAGTTTCTTAACATCTGTTTATGGTGATGTCATTGAAAAATACCAACGGCACCAAAACTTAAACACACAACATATGAACATTGTTTTCAATCTACATCCGGTTTTGATGAGTAATAAAAACAGCAACAACAGAACGGGCCTACCTCAGAACAATCTGTGGACACTCCGCTGGCTCCTCTTCTCCTTCTTCGTCTGGATGAAGATGCTTTCAGTCTCCAAAACACACACCGACTGAGGACAGCTTACCAAAAATCAGGCGAGTCTGCCCAGCGTTTCCCGAAACATCTTCGATTAAGTTATCGGTTGACAGTGTCTGTGTCTTTCCATAAACATTAATGTAATCGCTATTTCGAAATCAGATCCTCCCACGGGGGAGACTCGGTTGAAGAGCGAGGAAAAAATGCCTGTTGCGGGAGGAGGTCAGTTTTCAGACGTGTAAATTTAAAAATTAAAAAACAAAAACCGAACAACAGCCCTTGTCCTGTGAAGTTTCTCAGATCACACGCCGACGGGATTAGGATAAATTTGGGAAGGTAAAAAAGGTAGATGTCAGTCAGCGGTGATGTCAGAGATTCTCCGGGAAGAGCATCGCTCGGTTGCGACGCTGGTCAACTGAGGCTGCAGCTGCGGAGAGAGGGGGGAAAAGAGGAGGCGGAGGAGGAGGAGGAGGAAGAGGAGGCGTAAATGGGAGGGAGATGAGTTGAGAGTTCCTCACTCAGAGGGAGAGAGAGAGGGAGAGGGAGAGATGGTCCTGCCTCCGACAAGCCACGGCCCTAAGTATCCTGAAAGTCTCGGGAGGATATCTGATGTACTACTGCTTCACTAACCGACAAGAAGAAGGAACGTGCACGAAAAAGTCACAGGAGGACAGTGCTTGAATAATGACGTCATAAGCAGACTTTAGAGACCCGAGTTGGCAAAATAAAAGTTAAAAGGGATGAATAAAGTTATATCTATCTATCTATCTAAGAGTTAAAAGTGATTAATAAAGTTCTGTCTATCTATCTATCTATCTATCTATCTATCTATCTATCTATCTATCTATCTATCTATCTATCTATCTATCTATCTATCTATCTATCCTATCCATTTATCTAATCTATCTAAATGTAGAAAAATGTTCTAGTTCCAAGTTGAACAATAACAAATCCCAATGTCGTAGTTGGACACGTAGCTGTATAAACCAATCCCGTTTAGATTTCATTTCTACCCGTCGTCTGCACTTCTCGCCGTTAGATGGCGCTGATGCACTGACCGTGTGTTGCACCTCTTAAGAACAAAGCAGCAGAAGCAGTACAGTCTCGGGCGTCACCACTGTAAAATCCGAGCCTGTTTTTGAACACTGTTTTCTGAACAGCGATACTAAACTCAAACTTGGCCGTCATGGATCGAGGCTACGGCTCTGGTAAAAAAAACCCGAATATTTATTTTCATTATTTGTTTGTTCTAGAATTTACGCCGTCGATAGGTTCACGGTGCTGACTAGCTTTCAGTGTTAGCCTCATGCTACGTGCGCTCGCTACACGCTCGTAGACGTTTGCGAGCTGTACGACAACAAAAACAAATATGCATAGCAAAGTTTTAATGTTGACATAGGAAATATGGAATTGTAATTGTGTTTTCTTAAACCAAACCATTCACGAATACATTGGTTTTGTTAAACGTATGAACCGCAGCCTCCTAGCCTAGCATAGCCTAGCCTAGCCTAGCCGCGTCGACAAATGACTGTTAACGCCGCGATATAACCACATGTGTACAATATTGTTGCGATTGTATTTAAAAATGCTTTGCTGCAAACAGCAGGTTGATTCTTTTAAAATGGAGCCGTTGGATAGAGATACTAAATAAAAGCTAAATAAAATGGCCGCCTCATAGAAAGCGTCTTGAGATGTTTTCGCGGCTCCAATGTTAATCATTTAAAATTCTGATTATTTTGAAATATACCTTTTTTTCATGTAAAAATATCAGTTTGAATAACGTTCATTAAATATCCCGTTGCAGGTTTTTCTGGTTGGGGAGGATCGGGCAGCAGAGGTGAGGAGTCAATGCGTAACTGGCTGTTGAAATGTTTTGGAATGAATAAGATTATATTCGGGGATAAAAGGTGGATTATGAATGGATTATTATGAATACTCTAATGTCTTCGCTATGGAACCACAATAACAGAGGCCCATCCTTATTATATAATCTACGTTGAATCAAGTTTAACGTTAGAAAATCTGCATCTATTCACACAACAGTGCACGCATTCATTAAAACGTGTATAATACCCATCTTTAATTTTATTTTCAGGCATTAATGCGGATTCTGTCATTGCCAAGATCAACCAGCGTCTCGACATGCTCTCTCAGTTGGAGGGTGGGATGAGAGGGTCACGCGGAGACAGGTAAAATTCTGATAGACTGTCAATCAGTCTGGTTCCATCAGATTGAATGAGAACATTCCCTCCATCAATGTCTGTCATTGAATGAAAGTAGAGTATCTCTGTGACATACACAGTTCCATCTAAATAGTGTAGATGAGGTCAGGTTTCCTCTGGTAACGATCAAACTTTAGCTTCTTTTATTGGCTCAAACATTTCTGTCCAAGTGTGGGTCCTGCCCCCCCCACCCCCTGCACCTTTTACCAGCTATCCTCTAATTTTCGTTTGGGTTGCTGTGTTCCATAGGTGTGGTAAAATAATATGCAGCCCCTGCTGAAGACAGAAATCTTTGCAAACACGCCGACCTACTTTCTATGCAGCTCTGTTTGAAACTCTGTTTTTGTACCGACATCTCTTTGTGCACATTGTTCTTGTCTCATCCCCATGTAACCTATCCATATGCGCTGGCTTTAGGTTGCACATTTACTGGGTTTTTGTTTTTTTTTAGGTTTTGCTGGATTTTGTCCTGTTCTAGCTAAAATATCCACACGTTTCACAGTGAAAAACAGTGACATTTTCAGGTGTTTTCACATGGGTCACAGCGTTATTGGTTCTCACGGATAAAGTTCATGTCTTTTGAAGACGCATGCACTAATAAGGACTACTGTATGTCAAGTCACTGCATTTGTCTGAGATGCAGCATACTGTTGAACTCCAACAGGAGTACATTTAAGTAAATTCCTACAGTGTCCTACCAGACCTCTCCGATGTGATGACTTGTTTGGATCATTCATTTCTGATCTAATGTGGTTCACAGAAAAATAAGCTGGGGGTTAAAAAAGAAGCATGTATGGAGAAAGTGAGATGATGGAGGAGAAGGAACGGCAGGTGGAGAAATCCAAACCTGTCTCTCTGCCTCCCTTCCTCTCGGCTTTTCTCCATCAATCCTCTCCCTCCCTCCCTGCAGGTTTGACCAGTACGAGTCGTACGACTCGCGCACCTCCTCCCTGGCCTCCTCTCGAGATCTCTACAGATCTGGCGCCGGTAGCTATGGTTATCTTGATGACCGTGGGGACAGCCTGCTTTTTGGCCAGCGAGGAGGCTCAGGCTTCGGAGGAGGAATGGGGCTAGGAGGAGGAGGAGGAGGAGGAGGAGGAGGAGGCTTTGACAGTCTGTCCTCCTCTTATACAAAAATAAGACAAAATATGAGGGACTCCTTCACCAGTGGACTGGGAGGAGGTTCTGGAGGTGGAGGATGGGCCGGAGCAGGCCGACGATCCCCCAGAAGGGGTGGAAGTCCCGGGGGGCGTGGAGCTGGAGGAGGGTTTGTAAGCCACAGGTCTGACCTTGCCCCGTCAGGCGGTGGAAGGGTCACCGGTAGTGGTGGCCAGTCCCACCGTGGCCACTCTGCAGGAGGTGGATATGGTAGAGGCAAGCTCCCATCTCTCCTGTCTAACCGCATGTACCCTGAGAGTGGAGGCTTCCATCAGGGTTCTACTCATGGGCCTCAAGACTATCCTAGGAGGCACTTTGGAGGGGGCCCACGGGCTGGCCCCCAGCGAGTCCGCAAAAGACCCCTAAACAAAGTAAGTACCTCCATCCAGATGTGACCTCCTCAGACATGGATCCAAAGTTAAGACCCTTCTGATTCCCTACGGCCAAGTCAGCCTACAGTGCTGGTGCCTGCTTTTTGCCATTGAAACTGTCTGTCCTCCTCTTATACAAAAATAAGACAAAATATGAGGGACTCCTTCACCAGTGGACTGGGAGGAGGTTCTGGAGGTGGAGGATGGGCCGGAGCAGGCCGACGATCCCCCAGAAGGGGTGGAAGTCCCGGGGGGCGTGGAGCTGGAGGAGGGTTTGTAAGCCACAGGTCTGACCTTGCCCCGTCAGGCGGTGGAAGGGTCACCGGTAGTGGTGGCCAGTCCCACCGTGGCCACTCTGCAGGAGGTGGATATGGTAGAGGCAAGCTCCCATCTCTCCTGTCTAACCGCATGTACCCTGAGAGTGGAGGCTTCCATCAGGGTTCTACTCATGGGCCTCAAGACTATCCTAGGAGGCACTTTGGAGGGGGCCCACGGGCTGGCCCCCAGCGAGTCCGCAAAAGACCCCTAAACAAAGTAAGTACCTCCATCCAGATGTGACCTCCTCAGACATGGATCCAAAGTTAAGACCCTTCTGATTCCCTACGGCCAAGTCAGCCTACAGTGCTGGTGCCTGCTTTTTGCCATTGAAACTGTTTGTCCAGGACACATTTGACACACCACTCAGCTCACTAAGCTTTTCCTAATTCCTTTCTTTAAGTCAAGAAAGAATTACTGCCCCCCCCTCGCTCCCCCCATAACCAATTCTTACATAGTCTTTGGTTATTGTGTTATTCTGACACACGAACATAACAAACACAGGAGCTCTAATAGGAAGTTAGAGGGACGGGTGAACAGAGTGTAGTAAATATCCTTGTGGTGGTAGAATAGGTTCTGCAGTGTCGTGGTTGTGTTTTGATCGCTCCTCCCTGCAGCAGGTGAAGCCACAGCGTGACAATCAGAAGAAGAGGAAACAGATGCTCACACCTACCGATGAACCTGAGTCAAAGATAAACAGGACCGAGACGGAGAGCAAAGAATCAGAGGTCACGCCAGGTACTTCCTCAGTTCAAGGTTCGTTTATTGTTTTGTTTTTGTTTCTTTTACATTTTCTACGTTCATATCACTCACTGGTTTTCATGCTTTGTGTTCTAGAGCAAGTGGAGAAAAATGGCGAAGCCTCTGAACCACAGGCCCCTGCTGATGAGGTCAGTAGATAGTTGATACCTAGAACATTTTTGTTTGATTTTAAATAGAGGCCTGTGGTTTGAGAGCACAGTAAAGCCTTGTGGTCGAAAGAGTACCGTAATTAAAGTGAACAAGGAAGAAGTGGTAAAGCTGCGGCAGGACTGAAAACATTCAGTTAACGTCCTCGTTTCCTATTAAATAACAATTCTGTTTTTGTTCCAGAAGACAAAACCTGATGAAGAAGGAGATAACGGTGAGTGATGAACGATGACTGCAAATGAGCATCTGCATTACTATGTTTTTCATTAGTTATTGGTGTCTTCAATATCTACTCTGTAATCGACCAGCTGCAAACACGCCAGACGCAAAGAAAAAGCTCCAGGGCAAAGACAAGCATCCAAAGAGGAAGAAGAGACAGGGCTTTGTGGAAAGGTAAACAAATCAAAGAGCAAACGCAGCCGCCCAGATTGAGTTGATTTGTCTCTCGGCTTCTGTTCAAACAAACACGTGCTGTTGTTCCTCCAGGGGAATGTTCGCCTGCTCTGTCTGCAAGTTCCGTTCCTTCTACAAGGACGACATGGAAGCTCACCTGGAGAGTCGTTTCCACAAGGACCACTTCAAGTTCCTGTCCGGCCAACTGTCCAAGCCAACGTCCGAATTCCTACAGGTGACTGCCGTCATTACTGTTGAACAGTGCATGTATGTTCCAGGAGATGAGGGTCATGTGATTATGAATACCTGTTGTTTTTTTTTAAAGGAGTATTTGCAAAACAAGTTTAAGAAAATCGAGAAGAGGATCAGTCAAATGGAACACCACAGCGACGCCATCTGCCAGTTGTACAAAGAGCAGGATCTGACCAGAGGTTGGCACTGGGTTTTTACAGTGTGTCTGTGTGTTAATTCACATGAAAATGATTTGTAGAGAATGGTCATCGTTTCGTTCTGTCACACGCGTAGATATTGGTATGGAGCACTTCATGAGGAAGGTGGAAGCGGCCCACTGTGCAGCCTGTGACCTGTTCATCCCCATGCAGCCACACCTGATACAGAAGCACATCAGGTCTCCTGATCACAACTACAACCGCAAGGTATATGATCCACTCTGAGCTGTTGTTCTCACTACTGCTCTAGTCAGGACCATATTTAACCATATTTTTAGACAATAGTTCTCACATGGTGCTAAAATCACTCAGTTTTTCCATGGTGTGATTTCACTTCAGTCTCTGAATTCCTGTTGTCATGTGACACACATCTATCCGCAGCTACGTACCTAATGTTTTGTTGTACTGCTGGCAGACGTACACAACATAAACCAATTCTACTCTCCCAAAGTATGCATGTATTTGTAGTTAAATTGTAGTATTTCTCATCCTGCTTTGAGAATGACTCCTGAACTTTCTTTTTAATCCAGGGCATGATGGAGCAGTCAAAGAGAGCCTGCGTGTCAGTCGCTCGGAGCATCCTTAACCACAAATTCATCAGCAAGAAGCTGGAGCTTTACATCAAGGTATGTACAGAGTCATGCTGCAGTCACAGAAGTCAAGGGGAAACATTAGTTAGCCTTCACTTTTATCAATCATATGGAATCGTATGACAGTAGTCTGCTTACAGTGCTAGATTAACACAAACACTGTTTTACTTATACTTAGAAATAGTGCTGTGTACTGCACAGCATTTTATTCCATTCAATGTCACTGTTTTAGAAGTTGTTTATTTATGGAACACTCCGATTGGCCAGCAGTGAGAGGGAACACATTACTGTCATTCTATTCAGTCAGAGAGAAAACAATTTTTCCCAAGCTGTGAGACGCATTAGTGCTCAACGTTTGTGCTGTTTCAAATGTTATCCACTGGGTGTCGCTATAAGCCTTTCGGAAGTTTTGTATTAGAAGCCAATTTTGTGATGAACACAAAGAACAAAACATGTTGACTGAACAGCAGAACTCACTCATCTTTGACTGAATGAACTTCTATGGTCAATTTGTTTTTTTTGCTTTTTTTATTCAGGGTGAGAACCCAGTTTTTTTGTGTGCTTTTTTTATTCAGGGTGAGAACCCATTTACTGGTAACCATGACGACCAGGATCCAGAGGACTCTATGTTGATGGACGTGTCAGAGATGGAGTTGACCAATGAGACGTTAGATGGACAAACTGATTCGGCACAGACACAAGAAGAGCCGGCATCACAGGAAGATGTGGGTGAGGAGGCTGAAGCCGAGGCCGAGACTGACGCAGCAGCTGAGGAGGTGAAGATGGAAGAGGAGCAACACATCGCTGGAGAGGAAGAAGGTTTTGAAGTTGGTGAGGAAGAAGAAGAGGAGGGGGGCTACGTGATCCACGATGAGGTTGGAGAAGAGGAGTTGGGTGAAGCAGAGGATGAAGGATTGGAAACGGGCGATGTTGAGGATGAAGAGTTGAATCAGGAATGACTTAAACACCCAGGGTGTATTTTTGTTTCTTTGACATCTGTCTGGACCAGTACGTGACCTCACGCTCCCACGACAGCTCATCAGTTACCAGGCAGAAGTTCTCCCTCTAAGTTTTGCAGCTTATATGTTGTTTTTGTGGCTGATAAATATCATGCAATTTTTTTTGAATTTTTTTTTCCCCATGTTTAGATCATGGAGAACTTCAGTTAATTTTTAAGGTACAGCTCAGATTTTATGTAAAAACATGACAGTCCATATGGGTTAGAAGTTAGAAATGAACCCAGTAGGACACGTTATTAGACTGCAGGTTAGAATGTGCTCAGTGTCATGTGTAATGAATCATGGGAGACCTAACAAGGCGCCGTTGTGGATGTTTAAGTCAATAAACAGCCACAGTGGAGCGTTGTGTAAAGTGTTAAATGGAGAAACAAAAATGTGCAGATTTGTAAAATCTGTACATCAGAAAATCATGTTCTTAAATTTCAGTCATTATCATGACCAAAGTCATCAGGTGGATTAACAGTGACTCGTCTGAGGTTTGGCTAGTTAGTATAAACCTTACTGAGCTATTGGTGGAAAAAGACTGGAGTTAATAATAAGTTTTAGTTATTTTCCATATTGCAATGTAAACCATCAACGTCCAGCAGTTTTTAGTTTAGTTTAGTTAGTATTTAGAACCCAGCAGTTTTTAGTTTAGTTTAGTTTAGTTAGTATTTAGAATACCAGGTCAATGACTGGGATGTAAACGATGTAAAGATACAAAGACATTAAAAATGGACCAGTGTGTCTGATGTACTGTAACCTTATCAGCTGTGTTGGGAGACATGTTTGTTTTTTTTTAACAAAGCTTTTTGGTTTTTCTTTTACCATAAAAAGTGAAACACGGTTACAAAACAGTGCATTTAAAAATCCACATACTGTATTGCCTTTTCTAATAATTGCTGGACTCTGTCATTTTAAGTTTTCAATCTTTTTTTTTTAATGTGTAAATTATCTGCATTTTCAGACGGACAACGGTCAATAAAGTCACCTGAAAGAAGGAGCACTTCACCCTGACTGTGTGGAACAGCTATTTCCCAATTTACAGCGATTGCAAAGACTCGCACTGTAAATTTCCCCATTGTGAGACGATTAAAAGACGCAATTATTATTAAGAAAATCCCCCAGTGTGGGATCTCGGAAGTCTTACCGTACCTGGTAAGTTTGGACATACAATAATGGGTAATTCAGGTTGTTCCAAAATTACGTATTTATTAAATAAAATCAAACATAGAACTCAGATTTCAAAAGCAAATGCTTATTGAAGTCTTTTTAAGATTTACATTTTTAAAACTGTAGTTACCACTTTCCACAAGATGGAGTAAGCCTTAAAAAAAACCCTCGTTCATTACAAAATCGTCCAAGATATTTCCTGTTAAATAAACATTACTAGTATATTAGTGACATTTGATTTATGACTATGGTGTACGGTAAGTAGCTGAATCCAACAATCTAAAATCCCCAAAAGACAAAATACAAATCAGACTTTGTTTTCTTCCAGATGCAAAAACGAATTTACCGAATACCACGGCAGGACTGAACCAGGTAAACAGATATATACAACAATAATAAAAGATTAGCAACCATACCATGGCTAGACATAATATAACTAAAACACTGGTGTTTACCTGCAGTATCTAAAGGTTAAACAAACACAGTACATCCCTCTGTACTTCAAACTCTCTGTGCGAACTGTTTACTGACTGAAACGATTGCAGACTATTGCATGATGCGCCACAGGGGCCGGGCGATGGCAGGTGACGTCCTGTCTGCGAGCTTCTGTACGTCTGACGTCATTGACGTCAAACGGGACTGTTTGTTCTGGATTTGGGGCGAGGAAGGTCTGCGGGCGCTGACAACCGATAGAAGAAGGTAAAAGACGCATCAAATATGTTTGCTTTGGCGGCGGTGGGGAATGGAACGGAAGCGGGCAAATCCCGGCATGCTTGAAAACGTTTGGCACATTATTTGATGGCGTATTTCCCGCGCTGTCATGGTGCGCTTCGGCAAGCGGAGCATGAGCTCTCTTCACAGGCCTTGCACCGGTTCGGGCACATGAGACGGACAAATTTGGAGTCTTTTCTACCTTTTCGATTTTTCATTATCATTACTTCTTTCTATTGCGTCGTTTGTCACTTCGTGCTTGTAATAAGTCCGTTTTCATTGCACTGTTCTGTCGGTGCTGTCAGTGTGCACATTAGCTGCATAACCGCTACCGTGTTAGCCATTTAGCTGCTAGGCTGTTTGTTTGTAGCCTCGTCTGCCATATTCGCGACACAACGTACGTGCTATAAACAGCGTACTTTACGCACAAAGACGCATACGTTCACTGTAAAGCATGACGTACGTCACTTCGAGAATATCTTATGTGCTTAAGTTGCATTCTGAAACGGTGTTTACGTGCGAACCTGTCACTTTACGGCGTAGCGGACATGGCGGTCGACTGAGATGTACGGATGTACTGTCTTTAACGTTTTCTCTGAAATAGAATGTCTAACTAAAACTAATTCGTGTGTGTTCGTCAGTTTTTATACTGTGGCCATTACAGTCGCCGTTTTTGAACAGGTTACGTTACGATTTGATAATCGTGTACACATTTAAATATCGATAGTAAAAATCTGCATTGCGGATATATTCAACTAAAATATAAACACCTACTCTACCGGAAGGAAATCAACAACGTTATTCCGATTTTCCAGATGGTATCCTGAATTAAAACGTGACCTAAATAAATATATAACGCCTTTACGGATATCATATGATAAAATGAATAAATGTTTTTGAAGTTTGGGTGATTTTCATCTGATAAAATTAATAAATGTTTTTGAAGTTTGGGTGATTTTTTTATGTAAATCAAGAAGCATCTTTTACCTGAACGTTTCAAAGCTTGTTTGTTTTAGGTGTTGCTTGTTGTTTGTGAATGTGTATAACAACAATCAGAGCTTGTTTGTTTTAGGTGTTGCATGTTTGTGAATGTGTATAACAACAATCAACACAAAACCATGAAAGTCAATTTTCTGCTGTCTCGTTTGTAAATCATGTGCCACATGTAACTGCCCCCTTCCATTCAACCAGTCTCGTTTATGTTTGTAATCAAATACAGTTGTTAGATTACAATTTCCTGCAGTTGAATTGAATTCTAGATTTTAAATATATATATATATTTCATTTTCACCAGTATTAATTCCATGTATGTTTGTGTCGTGTTATGTAACGGTGCGTTGTGATTGACGTGTGTCAACACTAGGACTGTAACCCTAGCAAACAGCTACTTTAGTGTAACTGAAGGTTTTATGCTTTGGAGTTTGTTTACATGTCGCTCTTTCTTCTGTCTCTGTTACAGGTGTTGTCACTCCGTCTCCTGTTCAAATCCTGCAGTTTCCGTACACTTACAGCAAGTTCAGTCCTGGTGATTGCCTCTGTAAAACGCTGCCTCACCAACTGAGATATGATCACACAATTAATTTAGACCAGAGCTGCGCTACGACAAACATGTGAGTCCTCAGTTAGAAAGTGGTGCACACAAACTTTCTCAATGTTTTGATATTATTTTTCCTTTTCTTTACAAAAGGTCGCTGATCAATTTGCGTACAGGCATTGATAACTTTGAGTCACACAGTCTTTGTCGTTATCTGTGGGAGACCAATGTAATGTCACAATTGTGCGTCTTCTTGCTTCACTCAGTCCTGGAGTCGTAAAACACCTGAAAGTTTCTTTGTAACTTGATTTGGACGTAGAGGTTTGCTGTCGCGCTATCAGCTTTTTTAACAGCTGATTCTGTTTTGGTTAATGTTCTTCTACTATTATGTGAAACCGCTGATCATTAGCTCCTCTTTGTTATTGGTTAACTGTAATACTACAACGTTGTATAATCTTGCAAAATCTTGAAATTTCTTGAATTTCTGCAAATGTACTGACATGAATTGATGCTGTTGTGGAGCCTGAGGGGTAGTTGCAGCATGTATTTATTTAATGACACGTTTTTCTTCTGGTTGCTCATGAAAAATTTTTTTTTTTTATATAAATGAAATTATTATAAAAAATTTTTTTTTATATAAATGAAATTATTATTGAACTCTACTTCTTTTTGTCTTTTTTTGCTGGGACTTAAATATGTCTACACACAAACTACAATCCCATTAAATGTTTAAATCCTCAGGCAGTGGTCTTTTGATTGAAACCCCACAGTGATGCAGTATAAAGTCATGATATACTCATGATATACTGCGTGTAAAATGCCTAAATAACAGGGGTTAGGTTAAGATTTGATCAATACTTTATTATCGTGTCATCTGCTTTTACAGTAAGCTTTAAGGCCAGTAAGGTGAAGCAGGATAATTAGAGTTCTTGGAATTGTAAGGCTGTTACTGGTAGGAATGAATCTGTTGACGTGTCGTGCCAAGTTGTCTTGCTAACACGTAGCAGTGCTACCGAAGCTGACGCCACGTTTCTTAAAGAATTAAAAACAATAATGACAAGCGACTTCCACGTAAACAATTGTGTTGGGTTGGTTGCGACAGCAATTGCACAGTTTTTCCCACAGTTGGATTACATGTGTTGTGACAGCTGAAGGGTGGTGCTCCTCCCAGAAACAATTAAATAACATACCATTGAAGTATGACAGGGGGTGAATTGAGCTGCTTCTCGAGCCAAGTCTAAATGTTTTTTTTGACAAGACTCTTTGATAATGTTGGCACGATGACATGTTTGAAATGTGAACACGTAGCAATCAGATGTTTTTGGACTTCCAGAGAGTCCAGTGGAGTGAGGAGTAATGGCCTGAGGGGGTTCCACTCTGGTTCACCCGGCCCTGCCAGGTCCAGTGTGCCTCAGCTGTCTGCTCAACCGCTGCAATCGGCGTGGACGATGGGAGACGGACTGCAGGCAGGCAGCAGCCAGAACCCCCCCTCTGCCCCCCCCCCCCCCCCCCCCCCCCCCCCCCCCCCCCCGCCCCCCCACCCCCCCCCCCCCCCCCCC